TGCATTAATGAATCGAGTTATGTTCGTTTCTAGTCATTAGTTGCTTATTTTCTGCAGTGATTTCAGTGTTTTCTTTTACTTTTACGTACCTCATCATTACCACATACTTATTCATATTTCCAGTTCTATCGTTGCGAACGTCCGGCCAAATCTAAACGAACAATCTCACCAGCAACAACAGCAACAACAACAACAACAGCAACAGCAGCAGCAGTGGCGCCCTCCAAAACAAGGCGCAGAGCGGTTGTTCCACTATATGGAAGCATCAGATGGTTCTGATCCTGACGATCAACAACATTACACAACCAGTCGACTTCAACCTATGATGCAGACCATCAGCCAGGATTTTCATAAGGCGGGAGGTAATAAAATAAATGTCAATAAGGTGGCAATCATGGTTGGACATAGACATAGAATTATAAGCTTTGAGTTTGATTTGAAACGATTGTCGAATTTCATATAGAATAATTCTGTTGAAACAGTAAGTAGTTTACGTTGTAACAACTAGTACCTACTTACAGAAGAAATTTATTCTTATTGATACAGTCGATGAACCACAGTATTATACTAGACTGGGTTAATATCAATCTATTAATAATGAAGTGTGAAATATGGTATAGCTAGTAGGAGTATAATAAATAGATTGCATGACTAGTGCAATCGAACGTGCTGAGAAAGAGACATGGTGCGATTTGAAACAGTTTATCTTGTCGATTATTCACAATACCAACATAAGTTTTGTTACTGAAATTTAAAATTTAATTTATTTTTTAGGTATGCAATGGATGACATCGAAGTACAACAATAACAACTACAACAGCGGCGCGTACGGTATATCTCCCGGTAAACGACAGCGTAACAATAGTGAAAATAAAGTCGGCAACAAAGAAAATATAAACGATGCCACGTTTACAACGATTTTAATTGGAGCTTCTACAATAACACAGCCGTTCTATGAACCTCCAGATAAAATCACAAAAATCGCAACTACCCCTATATTTAAAACTGGTGATGAAAACGATCGATCACCTGTTAAATCTCCAGAGGTGTTGAATTTGAAAATCAATCGCGAAGATGAAACTATGATTCAGGATGAAGTGGAAAGTGATTTAGTTGCAGATGAAGAAAGCCGCCAAGAAATAAGTTCGAATAAGTTAGAAAAAACTGACAATAAGAGAAGTCGAAAACAAAAGCAGCCTTGCAAAGTTGCCCATAAAGTAACACTAACTTCAATTCGAGACGAATTCTTAACAAAACATATTTCTAGAAAATCTTTAGTTTGTACTTTGTGTCCAAAGAGTGATTATGCTTATCATACCAAATTGTCACTGGAGATTCATATGAGTTTAAGGCATAGTAGTGCAATCATTCCATGCTCGTATTGTTTGAAGGAATTTGATTACGATCATCTAATTAAATCACATAAGAGGAATTGCAAAGACCTACATAGTGCTAAAACAAATAACAGTGCCTCAGTTACAAGACCAAAAACCACAATAGACCAGAATGTACCTGATTTCTGATTAAATTTTGCATTTTTATTAAATATATACGAGTCTTTTCCTATATATATTTATTTTAGTCAAGTGATAAATTTGCATTTTAATGCAAATAATGAAAAGAATGATTGATTATCTACGAAATCACAAATGATATCCCGTTATGTTAGCTTATATGTTAAATTAATTTGTTAAACTAATAAAATAAATTAGTTATGTTAATGAAAATGTATAGAAAAATGAATATTTATTTCAAAATTATACAATTGAATGTTGCTATGTTTCATATAAATTAATATTATCATAAAATTTTGAATTTAAAACATAACATTATGAATTATACATTTATCAATATTGTATAGTTTTGTTTGATCAAAACTATAAAATTTTGATTACAGCATATATTTAAGTAGATATAATTTTCTTTATGGAGTGTACATTAAATGTAGCAATATTATCAATAAAATATGAACAGAATTAAATCTTATAGTCAATTATTTATGTAGTGATAATTTACGTGAGTTTCAATTCTCATTGCATAATGTAATTTAATAAAATTTGAATATTTGTCCCTAAATTTATTTATGCATTATATAAGAAAATAATCTTATATTGGCAATGTTTTATTATTTACAATAATCTTATTTTAGTGTAGCCAATGAATGCAAATCATGAATATTTTTAAAATACTCGATCAAAAGCTTCGATTTTAAAACAAATATTTATATTACCTGAAATTCAAAATCATGTGACACTTGATGAATGCAATTATACAGATATAAATTTTCATTTGTTTTTTTTGTGCTATAAATTTTTCATATATTTTTTTTTAACTTTATTTTCAATATTGTTCGTGGAATTTTTTATTACAATAAATTCGAATAGTGTATCCAGTGAGTATACTTTCTTTTATCGATGGTTTAAAGAAAACTTCACTGAATCTGACCATTGAAGCTGATTAGTAAAATTTCTATGACTTGTTGCTATCCCTGGTTTTCTCTACCTCAGCGTCGATGATTGGACGATGATTTCGCCTTGAATACAGATTATGAACATTCGGTACGAAAAAAGCATAAAAAATTGGTATTCAGACATTTTTAATTAAAATAAATAAACCAAACATGACAGGTGCACCAGATTGTAGCGTGAATGTTGGTGAGAAGCTGAATTGTCCAGTCAGCGATTGCTAGAATCAGGTAAAACAAAATTGATCCTGTATATAATGCATGCTGAGTTCAATTCCACAGAATTTCAACCGTCTTTCAATATTGAATAGTTTAAAATTTGATGATTATATAAAATCAAATTCAATTTCAACGCCAAATAAGTTTAACGAATGCAATATTTAATGTTGAACCACAAAATTTGTAGCTGCGGGACGCACTTTACGGGGTCTCCTAAAGTTTATAATAAGTTAAAATTTGTGTAATTTGTCACATTTTCATCTAATAATTGAATATGAAGATTTAATGATGCTGCTCATATTTTATTAATAATATTGCTACAATTAGGAGGTTTTTCTTCCGTAGACTAATGTTATGGCAAGGCTGTGTTATGTAGTAGTTTTCATATAAAGTGGTACTAAAAACTGGCAATCTTATTTTTATATATATTTTGCTTTTATCTATGGTTTAAAGGTAACTTCACTTGTATGTATCTGATCATTGAGCTGATTGGTATCACTTGTTGCTATCCATGGCTTTCTCTACTTCAGCGTCGATGATTGGACATAGATTTCACCTTGAACACTGATACTGACTATTCGGTACGGAAAAAGCATAGAAAATCGGCATTCAGACATTTTTAATTAAAATAAATAAATCAAATATGACAGGTGGACCAGATTGCAGCGTGAATATTGGTGAGAAGCTGAATTGACCAGTCAGCTATTACTAGAATCAGGTAAAACAAAATTGATCCTGTATATAATGCATGCTGAGTTCAATTCCACAGAATTTAAACCGTCTTTCAATATTGAATAGTTTCAAGTTTGATGATTATTGAAAATCAAATTTAATTTCAACGCCTTTCTCTACATCAGCGTCGATGATTGGACGATGATTTTGTATTGAATACTGATACTGAACATTCGGTACAAAAAAACATAAAAAATCGGTATTCAGACTAGATTGCAGCGTGAATATTGGTGAGAAGCTGAATTGACCAGTCAGCTATTGCTAGAATCAGGTAAAACAAAATTGATCTTATGCTTCTTGATAGTGAATATGTGAAAATGTCTATCTATTTTTTGTGCGATCAGGCATATTTTACATATAAACAAGCAAGGAAGAATCTTATGATAACTGCACCATCTAGAATTCTGTTATCATAACATTCATCCTTGCTTATAGACATTCTCAAATATTCACTAACAAGAAACAAGAATAAGATAACGGTATTTTATAAGGCAGAATTGCCCCCTATATCTACTTAAATATATGCTGTAATTAAAATTTTATCTCGTCGCATCCAATTTATTCATATACATATTCATTTAACAACAACTTGGCTCATATAAGTTCGTATAAGTTAACGTTTTCTGATAAAGGGGTTCTCAAGACCCTTATTCACATCTACGCGTAGAATAGCGCTTCTATTGGTTATAACTCGAGTACCACTCGATTAGTACTAATCGAGTACCTGGGGCGCATGGCATCGTGCCTTAAGGCAAATTGCTGGAACTTCCCGTACAAAAACTTATTTTTTTTTTTTTTAAATTAACATTTTTGAAAAAATTTTAATTTGAAAAAATTAGATTTAGGAGAAACTATAAATTTTTGACAAAAATTTCCTTTTTTTGAAAAAAAATGTTTTCTTTATTTTGAAATATTTTGGTATTTCTGAATTTTTTTTCAAGGCAATCGTACTGCTTTAACTTGCATAGAGACGAAATATTGAAACGCGTTTTGTTTAGAAACCCCTGAAACGTAAAGATATATAAAAGTTTTCATTTTCGATTTTTTTGCGATTAGGGGGCGTCCATTAATCACGTTTTTAGGGGGAGGGGGGGTTAACAAAAAATCACAAAAAAATATGTGGAGAGGGAGGGGTATACCTAGATAAATAAGGGGTATAGTAAAAGATCACGTGTTATTACTTTTTAACTAATTTTTTAAAAAAATTCAAACATTTTCAAAAACAAAATCAAAAATTTTACAGTTTTATCACGTAACCAAAAATACACGTGATGTTTGGTAGGGGAGGGGGGGGCGGCAATTTTGAATATCATCATGTATTATCAAGGGGGAGGGGGGGGTTCAAAAATCATTAAAAATTTGCTCACGTGATTAATGGACGCCCCCTTACTATAACTTCCCGTACGAGAAGTTAATAATCCTTTTTTTTTTACAGATTTGTAACTTTTAACTTCAACTAATTTAATTTAAAATTCTTTCATTACAAATAAAGCGATCAAAATACCATATGTAAACTTATTTAACAGATATAAGGTTGTCAAATATCTCCCTTCCGCCTTTTTGTATTATAAACCAAGAGCAAAAAGCGGAAGGGAGATATTTGACAACCTAATATAATGTTTTGCTAAAGTTAGTTTTGATATATGAAAAATGTCAGGTTTTCGCGAGCCAATGAAATTTGATTAAAAAATAAACAAATTTTTTCAACAGCGTTTGGTTGATATCAATTGTTTTGATTTGGGTATAAATTGTTTACTCGTGTGCATTCCAAAGCAAACGCTTATCTTGATTTTGTTTTTCTTTTTTATTTCGCATTCGGTGTGTTCATTTTGATTGGTTTAAAATTTGCTCATAACGCGTAGTGCCCTCCGCCGGGTGCCGTCAAAATTGTTGTGGAACAACGTGTTTTAGCTGAAGGAATAACTAACCTCAAAAGTAGTGGTTAAACTCGACTTCTGTCTTCAAAATTTCAGGTTGAAGATTTTCGACTGCAAATAATTCTGGTTTTAAGTAATGTAACATAATGGCCCCGAATGGTACTCTGAAACGTAAAGGAAGCAAGGATGTACCGAAACGATATGATGAAGACGTCGCTAGCATTTCGAAAACTAATGGACTTGAGGTAAATAGCGATTTTGATTGCAATTTTATATCTCTTGATGTATGCTAAATATGTTTATTTTCTAATTAATATATGAACCTTTGGTGCTATTATTTCCATAATTTTGTTTTACTCTGACAGCTTTAAGGTCTGTTCTTCACGAAAATGTTTGATGCACCAAAATGTCTTAAATTTCTGTCAGATGCATCAAAATGAGTTACACACGTTTTTACCACCTAGGAATAAAACAATTACTTTATAATTTTCCACTTTGATTTAATGACAAGTACTCTATCATTTAGTATCGACAAAATATGATAGGTCATCAATTATGTACTTAGCGATAGTGTTGTCTTAACATTTTTGTATTAGAAACATTGATTAATCATTTTAAATATTATTACATATTTGTTGAAGAAACTTAAATTTTATTGTTCTTATATTGAATTTGAGGTTGTCGAAATATTAGTGATAAATGAAAATGTTATAAGACTTTAACCATGTTATATTTTCCCTCAGTTGATAGATCAAATCCAATATTAAGATTAAAATTAGGAATTTCTCGATTTCTAATATGTGGTTTATTTTTCAGAATGGATTGGAGCTCACGGACATGGTGATAGTGGACAGTTCAGGTTCTGAAGAATCTGATAATGCAGATTCTGAGTGCAGCACTGAATTCATGGATGGGGAAGAAAGTGACGATGACGTGGAAGGCGAGAACACAGAGGACGAAGGTGATACTGACGACGATCATTTTGATGAAGGTCAGCTTGATGCCGAAGAATACTCAGCCGACGAGGACTTAGATCATCAGTGTGATGGCAACGAGGATTTCGAAGACTGTGGGGATGAAATGGAGGAGGGACCAGAATATGATGATTCTGACTTATCTAGTGCAATGGACCCTGCTACAGATGACTCGAAAAATATTGATGACAATTCTGATGAGAGTGAGGTTTCAGTTGATATACCAAAGTCGAAAGACTATCAGAAAATAAAAAAATTAGCTAGGTCTAAACTCATTGACACAGTTAGTACCAATAGTGATGGAAAAAGTGTGGTGTCTAAAGATGAATATAAACATGATTCGTCGGATGAAGAGGTAATACAAAGCGTTGTAAATCAATATTG